TGTGTGGCTACGGCAGACGGAGCACCCTGGCGAGCCTTGGCGGCGGGGCGGCCGAACGGGGGGTGGTTACGGCGGGGCGTTGGGGGTGGGCGAGGAGCAACGGGGCGCCGGGCGGATGAGAGAGGAGGGGTATAGAGGGGGCGCCGGGTCCAGCGCGGACAGGCCGGCGGCGGCAGTACCAAGCGATCCGCGGGCGGTCGGGGGGATCCTGTTGATTGGCAGCAATTGGCTCTCGCCCTCCTCTCCCCCGCCCCTCCTCGTCGCCCGCCCCCGGCGGCCCCCGACCAGCCTTGTTCCCCAGATACACACACGCCAAACTGCTGATAGTAATTATACGGATGCTGTACCGCTGGCCGTGCTGAGTGTGCTCCGGCGCGCTGCTCCGAACCGACCGCGTGTGATCTTATCTCCTCCTCTGCGGCTAGTGCGTAAACCGCGCGCACGGCTCGCTTTGCAAGTGCGTGACGTTCGACATTCGACATTCCCTTTGCTCGCGGTTGCGTGACTTCAGTCACTCGACCTTTGCCAAAACTCTCTCAAAGTGGCCGTGCTGCCCTAAATATTTGCACGCCCCGCGCAGTCAGTCGATGCCCGTAGCTACACCCCCGAACTTACGCCTACGCCCCACGCCCCACTCCCCCTTCGCCCCACAACCCAAACCAAACCCACCGGTGCATGGCCGCCGCGGCTGCGAATGCGGTTGTTTTGGTCGCGTCTTCGGCAGCCTTCCTCGAGCCCACCACCACCACCTCCGCCACCGGGGCGACGCTCCGCGTGACGTGCCGTCGGCCACGCGAGTGGCGGGCTTGGCGTGGTGGCGGAGGATGAGGGCATTGGACGTGAACATGTGGTGGCCACCAGCAATCAATAAGCCTCGCGAGGCGTGGCGGGGCCGGGCCGGGTGGGGCCGGGCAGGCAAACCGTGCCAAACGGGACGGAACGCTGTTGTGATAACCTTGGCGGCCGCGTTGGGCCGGGCCCGGCGCCGCCGCCGCCAGAGAGGTTTGTCCCGCCCGATCTGTGCCACACGAGGCAAGCAAGCCCTCCCGCGCGCGCGCCCCGGCTGCAGCACCGGTGTTGTGGTGTGACGTCTTCTTCGCGTGCGCGAGCTACACCCGGTGGTATGAAATCCGCCCAAAAAACACCGTAAAAACGGAAAACAATAGCGGTGGAAAAAACACGCGGACAAACATTTCGCACGCAGAGTGATGCCAGTGGGCGCGTGTCCAGTAGGTCACGTGTG